TGGTCAATTCAGCCATTGAAACTTGTGTATGCTTTGCGAAGTTCTCATGTTGTGTATTTCAGCTCCATCAGGTCATTTATATTCTTCTCTAAGCTGTGTATTCTCATTAGCATTTCGTCAAACTTTTTTTCAAGGTTCTTAGTTTCTTTGCATTGGGTTAGAACATGTTCTTTTAGTTCAGAGAAGTTTGTTATTACCCACTTTCTGAAGCCTGTTTCTGTCAATTCATCAGACTCATTCTCCATCTAGCTTTGTTCCCTTGCTGGTAAGTAGCTGTGATCCCTTGGAGGAGGAGAGGCATTCTGGTTTTGGGTGTTTTCATCCTTTTTGAGCTGGTTTCTTTCCATCTTTGTGGATTTATCTACCTGTGGTCTTTGTAGTTGGTGACTTTCGGATGGGGTCTCTGAGTGGACATCCTTTTTGTTGATGATGAAGTTATTTCCTTCTGTTTTTTAGTTTTCCTTCTAACATTCAGGCCCCTCTGCTGCAGGACTGCTGGAGGTCTACTTCAGACCCTGCTTGCCTGGGGATCACCTACAGCTGCTGCAGAACAGTAAGGGTTTCTGCCAGTTTCTTCTCCTGTTATCTTTATCCCAGAAAGATACCTGCCAGATGTTAGCCTGAGCTCTCCTTTTGAGGTGTCTCTTTGGATATACAGGGGTTGGGGAGCTGCTTGAGGAGACAGTCTTGTCCCTTATAGGAGCTCAGGTGCTGAGCTGTAAGCTCTGTTGTTCCGTTCAGAGCTGCTGGGCAGGTACGTTTAAGCCTGCTGCAGCAGAACTCATAACTACCTTTTTCCCAGGTGCTCTGTCCTGGGAAGGTAGAGTTTATTTATAAGTTCCTGATGTGCTGCTGCCTTTTTTCAGAGATGCCCTGCCCAGCAAGGAGGTAGCGTAGTCACAGTCTGCCAGCAGAGGCATTGCTGAGCTGCTGTGGGCTCTGCCCAGCTACTGTGTGAACTTCTTTGCAGTTTTATTTATAGAGGTATAGTTAGAACTACCTTGGTAATGATGGTCTGCCTCAGTAATGGTGGACTGCCTCGGTAATGGCGGACTGCCTCAGTAATGGTGGACTGCCTCAGTAGTAGTGGACTGCCTGGGTAATGGCAGATGCCCTTTCCCCCACAGAGCTGGACCATCCTGTGTGCAGCTGAGCTTGCTGTGAAACTCTCAATCCAGAGCGTTTCAGATTGCTGGTCTTTGTTGGGGTGGGACCCACCAAGCCAGATCACCTGGCTCCCTATTTCAACCCTGTTTCTTTCAGTTGAATGGTGGTTCTGTCTCCCAAGCATTCCAGGCACCAGTTGAAATGGCCACCCAGATTTGTGTGAGTTTTTTTGCAGAGACCCACTGCACTGGCTGAAACAGCCATGCTGGAAACTCATGGTGCTTTTCAGCCCAGGAATCTCGTGGTCTGTGGGCAGTAAAAACTCATTTGGAAATGTGGTGATCACTTACCCTCTGTGTTGTTCTCTGGGGACTGCACTCCAGCGCTGTGCCTATTTGGCCGTCTTGGATCCCTGTCTGCATTTTTTTACATTAACTCTTTCATTTCTCCCAATGCATCTGTGATGTGAGTCCCATCATCTTTCCCCATTTTACCAGTGCAGGAACACGTCTATCAAGCGGCAGAGCTGGAAGACTTTCTTTCCTTGGAGCTTTCTATATTTTTAAAATATTTTAGAATGAGTATGTGTGAGTGTATAGAATATTAATCTTTTAAATGTTCATTCTTCTTTTTCTATTTTCAAAGATTCTTGTCATAGAAAACTCAAGAATAGGCCAGAAACAGTGGCTTGTGCCTGTAATCCCAGTGTTTTGGGAACCAAGGCAAGAGGATGGCTTGAGGCCAGGAATTCAAGACCAGCCTGGGCAACATAGCAAGACTCCAGGGTGTGGTGGTGCATGCCTGCAGTCCTAGCTACTCGGGAGGCTGAGGTGGAAAGATCACCTGGGTCCAGGCATTTGAGGCTGCAGTGAGCTCTGATCATTCCACTGCACTCCAGCCTGAGTGACAGTGACAGATACCTTGTCTCTCTCTCTCTCTCTCTCTCTCTCTCCCTATATATATATATATATATGCACACAAATATGTACATATAGGTACATATGTGTATATATACATATATATATGTATGTGTGTGTACATATACACTCAATAATACAGAAAAATTAAAGCAAACATCCTCAAAATTCCTATCTTCTTTCTACCCCACTGGGAAAGATGCTACTGAAATTCTTAGCAGAGAACCTCCCAGATATTTCTATTTGCATATGCAAATCTCTGAAGGAATTTACACATACTCGCACTTCAGACACAAGACATATGTAATTTTACATGAATGGAACTGCTGTTCACGCAATAATATGTTGTGTACATCATTTCCATACATAAATATACATGCATTTTCCTTCATGGATAGAGGTACCACACATACTTCATTTAAAGTGACCTCCTATTGATGGGCACTGAGTTGGCTTCTACAGTTTTGCTGTTATGAATAATGCTGCAGTAAACATCCTTGTATGTACATTTTAGTCATTTGCTCAGTTATCTCCCTGGGGAAAAAATGTGCTATTTTTATAATCATATACAACAAACTTTGTTTTTCTGTCAATTGATATTTTGAATGCTTGCCAGCATTTCCTCGCATCTTTAATTTATAGGAATTAAATAGCTCTGCTGAAACAGAAAGAATATACTCAAGCCAGAGCCAGACGGAGGATCAGGAATGCCTACAGACTTGTGAACAAAATGAGATGCTTTCCATCGGAATAGAAGAAGTAAGTGACACCGTGAGAGTCCTGACCTTATCAGGTACTGACTTTTCTTTCTAGCTGAGCACCTGCCCCACATTAGAAACTTAAATCTCAGCAGAGCACTGTTACCATCACTACTATTACATGTTTTCGAGGTGCCGGGCTACCTTCTACCAAATGAGTTAAAGACGGAAATTAATCCATAAATTGACATAACTTTCACTTACCCTTGGCAGGCATTCATCCCAACAGCTGCTCTCTTATGGAATGAATTTCTCTGCAGGTGTTTGATATTTTGCCCCTCTATGGAGTGTTGCAGCCACACAGCAGCCACCAAATGTCGTTCACCTTCTATGGACACTGTAACATCATTTCACAGGCTAAAGCTCTGTGTGAAGTGGAAGGCGGACCCACCTATGAAATAACACTAAAGGGAGAGGCGTCCCTGGTCAACTATTCCTTTGACACCAAGGTTATTCACTATGGATTACAGGTATCACAAACCATCAGGTGGAGGTTTTCTGGTTTTGCCTTAAGCATCTTAAACAAATCTTCTCCTGAACCCTGATCATCACAGTCTCACCATCACCCCTGCCCTTGTTCCCCAATCTGCCTCCCTAACCCTGATCATCCTCCTGCTCCCAGCTGTTTGCCAGATACTTGCACCTGTTTTTCTTATCATCTCCTGAAACGCAGCATGTTAGATGCTCAAGGTCACTTTCTCTTTCAATCCAGGAGCCTGTTCCAGCTTCTGCATTTCTCTCAATAGCACTACCGTTTTCTCACACCCCTAGGTTTACAATCTCCAAGGCTTTTCCACCGCACTCTCTCCTTCACCTCTCGACATCCTTATAAGCATCCAGGGTTTGCTGACGCATCTCCAGGGTCCTTCTCTGAGTCAGTTTTCTCTTCCCATTGGCACTGTTATCACATTACAGGGTCTCATCAAGCCATGCCTAAATTATTACAGCAGTTCCTCCCACACTGTAATGTGCCTGCGAATCCCCTGGGAGTCTTGTTCAAGTGCAGATTCTGATTCAGTAAGTCCAGAGACATTTTCCAAATGGTGCTGTCATCCCATCAGTCCCTGACCAATTAAACCCTGCAGCATTTGGCAAAGCAATGTAATATTGACCAAAGGGCATGGTTTCGCATTCCGGTTTTACCTCCTCCTGACTGTATGGCCTTGGGCACATCACCTCTCCAAGCCTCAGTGTCCTTCATCTATAAGATGGGAATGGAGTAGCAGGCCTATCCTTCCAGGAGCTGTCATCGCTTAAGGCGTCCATTCAGTGATGTGCTGGGTCAGAGTTGGATGGAGTTCCTTCAGGTCAGAGCCCATTCCTCTACCTGGGTGAGGCTATCCTAAGCCTCTCCATTAACTGGTGATCTTTACACTGTAAGTTTCACTTTCCATACTTCCCTATTATAGTCCATGCATTTCACTGTGGCCAAGCTGGTCTACCCACTGGTCCCACTGAACCCCAGCCCTTCATGCGGCTACACTTTCTCTTACCTTATCCCTCTTACCCTCCACTCTGCCAAGCCCAAACCTCTGCATCCTGTAAGACCCAGCTCAGCTCCTTCCACAGTTATCTTTTTCTTTACATTCCCTTGGCACTTAGTGGTACTCTTTGCCATAATATAATATACTTTCCCATTTTAGTTTTGGAATAATTTTCAATTAATTCCATCAGTACATATTCTCTTCCCAATCAGATTCTGATTGGGAGACCATATCTCCTACCAAATTTCAGTGAAGACTGAATCTCTGTTACATAGTTCCTGCATGTATAATTACTGAGTTGTGTGCATGCATGTGTGTTTGTCAATCAAAGATTGTGCCTAAAATCAGATTCATCTAACACCTACAGAGACTATCTCCATGATGCTGACCAAATGGAATTCTCTTTCCTTCCTCATCTCCAGGGTCCTTTGGGCACTTGGTTTTGGTTCATCTGTGAGTGTAGTCTTTGAAGCAGCCAGTCCTCACCCTAGGTTTTCCTGAGGACCCCCAAAGTGGCCCGTTTGTGGTTATTGGGCCTGCTAATCCAGCTGGTGAATTACGTTAACAAAATTCCAGGAAAAAGAACATGACTGGCCTGTTACACCCTGGTTCTCCATTTGAATGGAAAAAAAATTATTCTAGAACATTCTAAACTCAAATCTTTTGCTTTTCTTACAGGACAGAATCCAGAAGGCAAATCTTCTTAATGTAGAAAGGTTGCTTTAAGATTCTTTATTACAAGTTCCTGTAGTCAAAAAAGTGAGACCCAGGAAGGTTAAATGCTCAGCCCCACAACCATACCTAAACTAAAGCATGTCTTAGAAGAACTAAGAGCCAGGTTTCCAGAGTCTAGTGCCCCAGTTGGCATTTGTTGTGATGCAAAGATATAGACTGACCAGTGTTTATATCAGGAGCTGTCACATTCTTATCCATGAGGCATGTTTCTGCACCTTTGTCATGATCAAAGCCATATCCCAAAAGTGGGTGGCAAAGGAGTCACTCTTCCCCTTCTCTTCTCAAGCTGTTTGACCACATCACAGAGAGGGAAATCACGCTAACGAACACGGGGAAAGTCAGCTTTGAGTTCAGAGTTCTGACTGACCACCAGTCTTCTCCAGACAACCTTCTACCTGGAGTGCCACTAATTCTGCCTCTCTCGGTAAGTAAACAGTGGGAGGGGCCTGAATTCAAACCTACAAGCCCCACCCCATGCAGGTGAGTATTCACAGCCAGGATTACAGGTGTGACTTTTTCTTGTTATTAAAACTAAAGAACTCTCAGAAGCAGAAAAAATAAATAAATCCAAGCCATTTCACTCATTTATTAAACAGATATTTGTTTAGTCCTAAAGTAGTCAGTTTCCAGGCACCAGGGATACAGCAATCAATAAGACAGATGCAACCCACGGATTTTTTTTACTATGATAATGAGACTAATTTATTTCCACTGGTATCTTCACACTGCCCTTGTAATTCCCAAGGGCCTCCTCTCCACTGACTTCAGCAGGTGTGAAAACACCAGCAGAGTGCACTGAGCCAAACTGTTTTCAGAAGCAAACAGAGGAAGTGATTTCTTGTTCATATTATGTTGATCTACCAGTTTTAAGGAAAATTTGTTGAATTTTTCTTGTTATGAAAATGGCACACAATTATTATAGAAAAAAATGAAAATAATTTTAAAGTGTAACTATTCATACTCTTGTAATCCCAAGATAATGAGTGCCGTCATCGTTGATGATAAAGTCTGTTCTTCCCCTAAATTATCTCACATATTTGAGTTTACTGCTGGTCTCTTTATTCTTCATTGCTCTGTCTGTCCCTGAATTATCTGTCTATCTCTACACTAATACTATACTATTTTAATTGCTATGGCTTTAAAATACATATTAATGTCTGTTAGGTCAACTCGCCTTTTGGTTTTTTCCCAATTTGTTTTAGCTCACCGAGTTCACTTTTTTGGTGTTTTTGTTTGTTTGTTTGTTTTTTAGACGGTCTGGCTGTGTTGCATAGACTGAAGTGCAATGGAAAGATCTTGATTCACTGCAACTTCCGCCTCCTGGGCTCAAGCAATCCTTCCACCTTAGCCTCCTGAATAGCTGGGACCACAGGCATGCACCGCCACACCCAGCTAATTTTTGTATATATTTTTTAGAGACAGGCCCTCACCATGTGTTGCCCAGGCTGGTCTTGAACTCCTGAACTCAAGGGGTCTGCCCACCTCAGCCTCCCAAAGTTCTGAGATTACAGGCATGAGCCACCACATCCAGCCCAAATTCACTCATGTTTTATTTCTCTAACTTCCTAACTTGAATGCCTACATTCATTTTTTTTTCTTAGTCAATAATGAAAAATTGTAAGACTATTCATTTCCCTAAGGACATCTTTAGCCTTATTCCTTATATTTTAAGAAAATTGCAGATAAAAAAGTAGAAGTCAATTTTGTATGTTTCACACATTAATATTTACTATTATAACATGCATTATTTTCTAAGTTGTCTAAAATTATAGTTTTACTTACAAGTATAATTTAAAATATATTTTTCTTTTTTTGAACTTCCAAATGACTAAGATTTTTGCTTTTGTTATTTAAACTGTTAGTAATATTGAGGGTTTTTTGAATCGTGATCAGATAATATGGCCCTCTAAATTCCTACTTAGTGAATTTACTAATATATTTTAGTGACCTGAAGTGATTTTTAATAGTAATAGATGTTTGAAAATAATGTTACCTGGGCTGTGGAATGCAGATTATCAGACCTGGAATCTCTACTACATTAACCTGAATAATTATAACATTCAAATCTTCTATATCTTTTTCTAAGACTCAAGAGTGGCATATAAAACTTTTGTCCATTTCTCTATTGTTTTCCACACAGCACCTTTTAGTTTTATGCCTTTTTTTGTTTCTCTGTCGACACAGAAGATCTCATGGCTATTGTGTGTTCATCATGGACTGTGTGTTTTGTCTACCTTAAATTGCCTTCTTTTTCCCTTTGAATGCTCTGCTTTGAATTCCACTTTGTTTGGTCGTAATATTGTGATTGCTGCATTCTTTTTACCTTACATTGTTTGCCCGTAGTCTATTTCATTTTGTTTTAGGCTTATCACTCATATAATGTAATTTAAATTTATTTTTTAATTTTCTCTGAGAGTCCCTCAGTTTCAATAGGAACATTTAACACATTCTTATCATTAGCAAAACTGAAATGCTTACTGTTATTTCCTTCATTGGATTTTGTTTGTCTATTTTTAAAACTCCCTTAGTGCTTCCTTTCCATTCTATCTTTTTATCACAATTGCCATGTTTTCCTTGCCCTTTTCCTAATTTTTTTAAAGCATTTGAATTTACATTGCTGCAGTTATTGTAAATTGATAACTCTATAGAGAACAATTTGGCCATATCTATTAAAATTACACTTTGACCCAGAAATTTTACTTCTAAGAATTTATTCTACATACATGTTCCCACATTTGCACAATGATGTGTTTATAAGATTATTTCCTATGTAATTTGTAATGGCAATAGCAAAAGACAAGAAACTAACTAAATATCTATCAGTAAGAAACTAGTTTTTAAAAATATATTAAAGCTATGAAATGGAATAATACATAGCAACTAAAAAGGATGGAGTAGCTCTAGATGTACTAACATTGAGTTAATTGTAAAATATATTGTTAGGTAAAAAGAAAAGGGAGATGAAAAACACTCTATGTGCTACCATCTGCATTTCAAATACATATATATTGCTTGATTCACTTAGCTACCATTTTACTTAGAATTTTTGCACCTTTTTAAAGTGATTGTTAGTTAATAAATTTCCTTCTTCATGCTGCATTTGATCAGTTTGGATATCAGAATAAAAAAAATAGGCATTTCTCTCTTTTCTGCTTCCTGAATGGCTCATAAATGAAAGAGATGATCTGTTTTGAAGGAGTGGTAGACCTTGCTCCTAATGCCATTTATTCCTTTGCCAGGGTAATTTTCTTCATTTTTCAGTTTCTGTATAGGATACAGATCACTCTGGGGTTTTTAAGTTTGGTTATTCATATTTTTCTGGGAAACTGTTAATTTCACAAAAATGTTTGAATATGTTGACATAAAGTTTTCTCAAAATCATATATGATTTATGTACTATTTTACTACATCTACTGCTTTTTTCCTTGTCTTCTTAATCAGTCTTGCCGGTTTTGCATATTTTATTTGTCATTTTTCAAAGAAATAGTTTTTGGATTTATGAACCTCTTCTATTTCTTTGCACCCTATTTCATTAAATCTCTTACTCCTTTCCTTCTTTCTTTAGGTTTACTTTGTCGTTGTTGTTGTTTTAACTCATTGAATGAGATGAGCCTGTGACATATTTGTTCTCCCTTTTCTGGTCTTTCTACTGTATAGGGTTTTATCAGTTCACATCAAGCGCAGGTATTAAAAGTTTACTACCTACCTGGAGTGCCTGAGGTCTTTCAAAGGAGTTTCCAGATACAGATCGCCCACCTGGACCCAGAAAGTATCACTCTGAGTGGAGAGGGAGTCTTTCCCCAAATCTGCCTCGATCTCCCCAGGAACCTCACAGGTACTACTTCACATTGGAGTATTTTCCCACTGGCGGACAAAACAAACATTTTAGCTTTGCTTATTGGAAGGTTGCTGGCTACTTAATTTATTCGCTTAGAAATCCCCTGTGGCTCTCTGGCATGCTATTCCTCAGTTGCCAAATTAGTGACCTGAGTTTACTGAGACAAGAAATGGTCTATGGCAGTCCCAGATGAAGAACCCTGGTCAATTTGGCCATTATTAAATTACTTACAGAGGGATCAGGAAATTCACCTCCAAAGGCTTTTCCTCCTCTCATGCACTCTCCTTCCGGCCCTGGTCTTTCCCTGAGCTGTCCTTTCCCAGTGGTATTCTCCTAGAGGGCCACTGGGAAGGTGAGAGCCAATGTGCTTCCAGGCGTGCAATTCTCAAAGTATAAACTGCACAGAAGGGCAAACACAGATTCTGAGCCGTTATTCTGGCATTACACAAGGTGAAGGCTAAATTAGACTTTAATAATTGTCTTCCCACTTACATTTTCCAGTTACGTCTGGCACCTGGGACTATCCCTTTGTACCAGAATATTTCTGTCTTGGCAGATTCCAAACCTCAGCTGAGCAGGCCCTTTTAGCTGTAGACTGTCCCTGACTCTTTCTTCTAGACATCAGGTACAGGACGATGGGTCAGGCAAACTTCTCACCCTTCATGAATCCCTCTTCAAGCTCCTTGAAATCTACTTTCCCCAAAAAACTTCAGACTAAATCCTCCCACCCAGCCTTTCCTCTTATCACGTTCCCTGAAGTCACTAACTCTACCTGTTGCTAATCATCCACTGAATTCTAATTGTCTGCTCTCTGAAAACTTGAAAAAAAAAAAATATATATATATATATATATATATATATATGAGCAAGACCCTGTCTCTATTTTAAAAAGGTCTCACTCTGCTACCCAGGCTGAAATGCAGTGGTGCAATCATAGCTCACTGTAACCTTAACTCCTAGGCGCAGGGGATCCTCCTGCCTCAGCCTCCTGAGTAGCGGGGACTACAGGTGTGCACTGCCATGCCTGGCTTACTTTTTTTTTTTTTTTTTTTAAAGATGGGATCTCACTCTGTTGCCCAGACTGGTCTTGAAATCCTGGTCTCAAGTGATCCTCCCACCTCAGCCTGCCAAAACACTAGGATTACATTTGTTGAGCCACAATGCCTGGCAATAAATGTCACTAACGCCAAGACCATGTTACACTCTTGTATCTAGAGTTCAAGCCAGGCAAGGGTTACTCCAGCTCCACATATAATTTTGAGGAAGGAAAACCTTTGTCATATGGGTGAACACTGGGCACCCAGCTGGCCTCATCAGAGCAGTTGATATGGTTTGGCCAGTAAGGACTTTAAAATAATTTAAATTTGAACACTGTTAGTCGAGTCTTCTGTTCTCCAGTTCACTACAGTCACCACATTTCCTATTGTGTTATAATAGGCTTCTTCTTTTCTTCGTTCTTTTGTCTTTTTTTTTTTTTTTTTTAAACAGTCTTACTCTTTCACCCACGCTAGAGTGCAATGGTGGGATCTCAGCTCACTGCAGCCTCTGCCTCCGGGTTCAGGCTATTCTCATGCCTCAGCCTCCTGAGTAGCTGGATTACAGGCACATACCACCATGCCCAGCTAACTTTTTGTATTTTTAGTAGAGATGTGGTCTCGCCATGTTGCCCAGGCTGGTCTTGAACTCCTGAGCTCAGGCAATCTGCCAGCCTCAACCTCCCAAAGTGCTAGGATTACAGCCGTGAGCCACCACACCTGGCCTTTAGTAGTCATTTTAAATGACTTTCCTACCTTGCCTTTCAAAGTATTTGAATTTGTACTGGCTTAGTGGTGAATTTGGGTGGGAATCTCTCTACCAATTACCTACCCTCCCTGATTCAGGATATTGTGGCGTATTTAGTGTTAATTAAAGCAACTTGACCGAAACATATTTTTTGTTAATTGAGATTTAATAAACATAAAAACGGACTTAAAGGATGACCAGCTGCCTGGGTTTGTCCAGCACTGGGAGAGCTCTGGGGTTTAAGTGCCAAAACCAAGAAAGCCCCAAGCACACCAGGATCAAGAGGGTCACGCAACACGTGGCTTCAAATGTTACTACCTTCAAGTTCTGGAGAACCAGCCAGTCACTCACCAAAACATAATCTCATTGAACTCAGTGAGGTCTCTGATACATATTCAACTCTCAAATCACCTCACCCTCTGAAGCAGAGAAAGTAAGTCTGTGTTTGGGGCATCATTCATATTTTTCTAACCTTCCTGATTCTGCTCCCCTTTCAACCCCCGCCCCCCCCCCCCCCCCCCCCCCGCCCTGGCACAGCAAATGAAAAGTATGAAACCTTCTTGAATCAGGCCAGGAAAAACACAGACAAAGAGTATGACAAATGTGAAACAGTCGATCAGTTTGACATAATAACCGAGGAGGTGCCAGAAGATGAGTCTGCGGAGGTAAGGCAGCTCCAGCCTGCATGGGACACCAGCGCAGGAGGGCGGTGCATGCAGAGTGCACAGCATGTGTGTGCAGAAGGGTGCTGTGTGCAGCCTGTGTGGGATGCATATGCAGAAGGGCACTGCGTGTAGAGGCCCAGGGGCAAGGACATGGTATCTGAGGTACAGAAGGGAGAAAGACAGAGATAAAGCAAAGAAGCAGGAAGCTAGGAGAGGCAAGATGAGCCCAGGAGATGAGCTATCAGGTGGCCGGCATATTAAGGTTTTTGGACTTCATCCTGCGGGCAACCAAAAGTGTAGCCTAATCTACTTCCCATCTTTAAGAGATCCCTTTGGCTACCTTGTAGAACTCTGAGGGGACAGGAGCTTGGGGATGATGAGCGTAGATTTGAGAGATCGGTTATTTTAGAAGCCGATGGAGGGCCAGGTGCAATGGCCCATTCCTATAACCCCAATACTTTGGGAAGCCAAGGTGGGAGGATGACTTGAGGTCAGGCAGTTGAGACCAGCCTGGGAAACATAGTGAAACTCCACCTCTACAGTTTTTTTAAGCTGATGGAGTAATTCTAGGTGAGAGATGGTGGTACTGAAAGCAATGGTGACAGTGGGGACAGGGCAGACGGGGTGGGTTCAAGGAATATTCCAGAAGTGGAATGGTCAAGACTTAGGGATTGATTGGATATGGGCATGGGGTGGAGGGGACCTTGAAGTCTTGCTTGGATGACCAGGAAAGGAGAGGGACTGAGACGGGCAACTCAGGAGGAGAAGCAAGTCTTGGTGGGAGGGGTAGGAAGGGAAAGGAGTTCAGCTGCTTCCTTCCGGTGGCTCCCGAATGTGAGATTTCTGTGCATCATCCACGTAGAGCAGCCAGTAGGGAACTGGAGCCACCGCTGGGGGCCTGGGGGAGAAAGAGAGGTTGGAGAAAGTGACTTGAGAGTCATCGGATGCTTGTTGCAATCACAGGAAACGGGGAGATTCCCCAGGAAGTGTGTCTAGTGAGCAGGGAGAAGAGCAGATTCAGAATGGAGCCCCATAGTACCCCAGCATCTGAATGGGGGAGAAGGGGTGACCAAAAGGTTCTGGAAAAGTCAGGAGCTTGTGATGCTGCAGAGGTGGGAGACAAGAGAGGATCTCTGGAGGAGGGAACGTCTCAGCTTGTAAATAGAGGCTGCGATAGGAAGGCAAATTCCCAATATGTCTGCCCTCATCACCCCTGAAAGTCCTGTTTTAATAGTCTGTTCCTGAGCATGACAGCTGCCATCACCCTGTGCCCTTCTTTCAAAATGCAAATGTGCATGAGAATATTGTTCTAAGGAAGAATCATGTATGTGGCTAGAGAGCCCTTAGGCTGGTTACAAGGGGTTCTAAAGTGGGAGAGAAAGATGTCATGGGGGAGACTGGGAGCACCAAAGGCCACCACCGATGATTTGCTTTGCAGAAGCCTGGTTCAAGCACAAGATGCCAAAAGTGAACCTTAGGACCAAGGATGATCATAATTAATAACATCAGCTACCATTTATTCGGCTCTTATACTAAGCCTGTGCCACACTATTAACTTGCACTGTTATCTTGTTAAATCTTCCCATAATGAGGGTACGGGAAGAATGGTGCCACTATCATCTAAATTTTAGTTTTACAGAAGTCAAGGGCATGTCCCAACGCAAGCCCAGAGCTAGGATTTGAACCCAGGCCTGCCCAGCTGCTAAGATGGTGCTCTTAGCCTCTGCCTTCTCCTACCAGACCTGGGCTGCCCACTGGCGGCAGTGGTGTGTCTCCACCTGCTAACCACTTCCCAGGCTGCACCTCATCAAAGCCTAGGATAGCTGTGGGATGGGGTTTCTGTGAACATAATGGTACATGCAGAGCCAAGCTGATCCCCTTGAGTAGAACAGGGTGGACTACTCATGGCTCAGGAGCCAAGCACAGGGTTAGCTTTGCTGCTCTAGAATCCAGATAACTGGGAATGCTGTCAGCAGGCCCTGCTCCTCTCCCAGTTTGTCACACTTCACTCTCACCTCCTGTGCCTCACTGTGGGCCATGGTACACATTAACCTTCCCTGCTGGGCCCTAGACTTAAGGGTTAGCCCTTTTCAAATAGTATTTCTCAACCTTTTCCATTATCACCCCCTAAAATCCATTTTAGACCTCTTTTCCTAATACTCCCCATAAAATATTTTTATTTATTATATACAAAATGGAATCTCTTTGAATAGTTTGATATATACTTTTTCAACTTTTTATTTTGAAATAATTATAGATTTACAGGGAATAAAAAAAAAACGTTTTTACCAGCAGTAATATCTTGTATAACTATAGTACAATATCCATCCACAAAATTGACGTTGGTACAAGTCACAGAGCTTATTAGGATTTAACCACTTTTATATGTGTGTGTGTGTGTGTGTGTGTGTGTGTGTGTGTGTGTGCGCGCGTGCGCACGCGTGCACTTGTGTGTGTGTGTAGTTCTGTGCAATTTTATCACATGTAGATATGTGAGCTCACCACCACAATTAAGATCCAGGACTATTCCATTGCTACGAGGACTCCTTGTACTTCTTGGGGAAAACAAAATTAAAAACAAAATCTCCTTCCAACCCCGAAAATCTATCCACAAAGGTAGAAGAGGAAGAAAACAATTTTATTATTGAATAAGCATTAAACTGGAATTTGATAAACATCACAGGCAACCTACTAAAATATTGTAAAGACGGAGGAAGTCTGCCCCTCTTGTAGGGCCAAGCAGATCCAAGCCATTTCATTCATGTTCTCAGAGTAAATAATAGCTAGTCTCAAGTAAGAGGACTTGACACCATCATTTGTCACACATTGTTTATCCTAAATCGAAATGGTAATTAAAGTGGCCAGCCGTGTTAGCTAATTGGCTTTATCCACGGAAAAACAAACTTGTCTTTCTAGCAGGGTCCCACAGAAGCTAGGCTCCCATCCTCTCACAGAAACTGGAAGTAGGGACTTCATCTTCCTTGTTGATTACATTTCAAAGAGATGCCTTGAGATAGACACTTCAGGATCCTAAAGCTGGCAAGAGGCTTATTTCACTTTTAAAAAGATTTATCTACATTTCAAAGCGATAACATTTCAAAGAACTTAAAATTACAAACGTTGTAAACTAAATTCTATAAGAAAAGGGAAAAAAAGAAGTCTCTTATTTTCAACAAGGAGAACTAAGCCTCATTTTCCGTTTGTGTTTGATCTTACACGTGCCCCACCCCCACCCCGTTATAACCACGCCCACCTTATCTCCCCATTCCTTACCTCTGGCAACCACTCATCTGTCTTCATCCTGATCCTTTTGTTATTTCAAGAATGTTATATAAATGGAATCATACAGCACATCACCTTTTGAGATTGGCTTTTTTCATTTCACATAATGCCCTTGTAATTCTATTCAAGTCGTGCACCTCAATAATTCATTCCCTTTTATTGCTGAGTATTCCATGGTATGGCCATACCAATTTGCTTACCCTCCCCACACCCTTCCCAGGAAAAATTTAATACCTTAAACATACTGTGTATCTGTTTATGTTCTGTGGCCCTTTGGGGGCCACAAACCATTGTAATATTTCAGGTATTTTCCACCACCCTCCAAGAACTAATTTTTGCCTCTTTAGGGGTGATACTGTCCCTGTTGAGAATCCATGTCCCTAAAGAATTTGCGGCCGGGCGCGGTGGCTCAAGCCTGTAATCCCAGCACTTTGGGAGGCCGAGGCGGGTGGATCAC